AGAGAGAGAGAGAGAGAGAGAGAGAGAGGAAGGGAGGGAAAAGGGCGATCGGTTCATGCCGACACCTCCGACAGAGCGGTAGACGTGCGTTAGTCGTCGATGATGAAATCGATTTCTGTGAAGTGCTCTTGTTCGTGGATGCTTCTCATAGCTGCTGTCGAGGCTGACGATCTACAGGGCCACCGGTTGATGTGGGCACCGAGCGGTAGACGTTGATAGTCGTCGATAAAATTGCTTCATGTAAGAAGAGCTCCTGCCTTATTGCTCATGGTTGTCGAGGCTGAACCGCAGGGCGGTTAAGACACCTCCGAACGCTAGTAGCCGTGGATGATATCGCTTTACATGAAGGACTCTTGTACCTTGATGCTGCCCATGGCTGTGGAGGCTGAAAGAAGGTTGTTGTTACTCGCCCTCGCCGCCTCGCGTTTCCGCGGCCGTGCTATCCTTATTAGGCCGCGTTTGACGCGCAGGCGCGCCTCGAGAGGCAGCTAGCGGAATCGCAGGCGAGGTGCGCCGAGCTGCAGGAAGCTGAGCGCAAGGCCTCCGCGGCCGCAGCCGCCGCCGCTGCCGCCAGACTCGAGGTATGCATGCAGCAAGAACACCACTCGGAGCTTGTGCAAACACCACGGAACACGATGTGCTTGTACAATCTACCGGCGTGTAGTTTTCGTGAGTTTTCCACAGACTCTGGGTCTGCATGCTGCAAACACCTTGGAACATGTGCAAACACCACGGAACGTGTGTGCTTGTACAGGCGGCCAGTATTTAGGTTGTGGGCATGTCACTGACTCCAGTCTCTCACTCGGTCGACAACGAAACCGCCCTTGTTGCAGGCGGCCGAGCACGTGGCAGCGGCGGCGGTGATGGCCTTCGGCAACGACGACGGCAGCGGCCGCCCCAGGAGCGTGGAGCGGCTCCTGAAGGCGGCGGCGGCGGCGGCGGCGGTGACGGCGGAGGAACGGGTGGGCGAAGGCGCGATGGCTGCCTCTGCTGCCACCGCCCCCGCCACCACCTCGGAAGATGAATCGGTTGCCGGCGACAGTCTCTCCTCCGGTGACGGCGGCGGAGTCAGCGACGGCGGCGGTAGCGCGATCGACGGAGACTCGGAGAGAGGGGGGAGCGTAGAGGTTTTGGTCAAGACGCCTTCTCAAAGGAACGGCGGCGGCGGCGGCGCCGGGTTCGAGCTTCCCGAGAAGGTTGTTCGCGCCTTCGGCGACGGCGGCGGCGGCGGCGGTGGTGGCGGCGCAGGCCCCCACGGGGGCGACGGTCAAGAGGTGCTCAGCAGGAGGAGGAAGAGCCGGGAGAGGGCACGCGCGACGGGGATGCTCGCGAAGGGCAACAACAGCAACAGCCGGAACCAGGGCGGCGGCGGCGGCGGCGGCGGCGGCATCCAGCAGCGGGGGGAGAATCCGAACGGCGACGGCAGAGGGGGAGACGTGGGCGCGGCGGCGGCGGTGGTGGATGGGGGGGGGGGGAGGGGTTCCGCGGACTCGCAGATGTTGCTTTCGACCCGCTTGCGGGAGGCCCGGGCAAAGGAGAAGGCCATGCTGAGGGAGATGGAGGTACGGGTGTCGCGTTCTCCCTTGTCCTTGTTCTTGTTGATTTGCGGTCGTTGGTTGTTCGGCGAGTGTGTGCCCGGTGGTGGGTGCACAAGAACAGCACAGCAGCCGTTTGCCATGTTTTTTTCTGTCTGCGGCGACCCACCGAGGTTGACCCTCTCTCCCCCCCCCCCCCCCCCCCCCCCCCCCCCCCCCCCCCCCCCCCCCNTCTCCCCCCCCCCCCCCCGTGCGCGCGCCCTTGTTGTGGTACGAGAGAAAGAGAGTCCTGGTGGGTACACATGGGGGGTTGGTTGAGACTGACTACCATCGTCTGGATACCACAACAGTGACAAGAAGAGCACCAACCACAACCAACAATGAGAACAACAACAGCATCAGCATGAGATAATACAATACTTGTCCTACCAACATCAAGATCTGAGTTTAGGTATCATTTTGTTGCAGTTCCTCCGCCGAACAGCAGCACGCGTATGTTGGCCGGACGATAATCGCCGCCGCCCAACACACGCAAAAACGAACATACAAACTACTAGTACACGTTTTCTGAAGAAAACACACGATTTGTTAATCCCCCAAAAAACAGGAAATGCGAGCGAGGGAGCAAACGATGCGCGGGGAGCTGGTGAACGGCCTGGCCGGCGCCCGCAAGATTTACGCCCAGCTCAAGGAAGGGAGGCAGCGGGAGCAGGAGCTTCGCGCGACAAACTCGATCCTCCAAGCCAAGATCGCCTCCTCCTCCTTCTCCTCGACCGGTGAAGGGGAGAGACAAGTGAGATAAACCGTCGGGGCGTGGGAAGGGGTGGGGGGGGGGGGGCTGACAAGGGCGGGGATGTCNNNNGGGGGGGGGGGGGGGGGGGGGGGGGGGGGGGGGGGGGGGGGGGGGGGGGGGGTGGCTCGTTCGTGTATGACCAGTGTTTTTGAAAATATTTATTTCCGGGAAGGCTTCCCCGTTCGAGCTTTAGTACATACCCCCAATAGAACGAATGTATTGAATTATGAGAAAACAATGTCTGTGGTTTCTTGTTGTTGTCGCCGTCGTCCTCGTCTTTTGGACCTTCTGTCACGTTCTGTGACGTTTACACAGAGCGTGTATGTTGATGCTTTTCATTGTCGCCTGTCTGTTCACCTCTCGGTTCTCGTTTGTCGCAACAACCCCAGACAAAGACCACCTTTTTGTTTCCTCCTGCCTGCAGTCCTTGCCTTCATCTTTTTTTTTTCGCGAGAAAGGCTGAGCAGCCCCGTCCCTCACGCTACGCGCACTCACAGATTTCTTCCGATTTTTTTTCTCCAACGCCGGCCGGGGAAATGCGCGACCCCCGGTTTGCCCTTGGCTCATGGAGTGTACACGACCGTATCTGTTCCGACATGGAGAACATCTTGACACCGTCGTTGCCTCTTCCGGCGAGCCACCGCCCGCGGCTCAACCCGTGCGTCCGTTCGACCCCACACAAATATACATCCCATTGACTCTTTTGCGGGTGTCGTGTGTTTCTTTGTTCAGGAGGGTGGGGCGGTCGTTCCCCGGACCCCCGAGAAAATGCCGTCCTCGTCCAAGAACGGCGCGGCAGCGACGGCGGCAACCTCAGGAAGCGATCGCCACCCCGGCGCAAGCATGCCCCCTTCCCACTCCTCCGCCACTTCCGCCACCCCTTTCTCGGGCGCTGCTGGTACCGGTGCCGGTGCCGGCGGCGGTACCGGCGGCGGTACCGGCGGCGGCGGTACCGGCGGCGGCATCGCCGTATTGTCTTCCTCTCGCTCGACGTCTCCGCCCCCGGCCATGACCACGCCGCGTGGTGCGGTACCGCTCAAGCCGTTCGCAACTAGACCCCCCACCGCAGCAACAGTTTCGACAGCCGCGGCGGCAGACAGGGGTGGTGAGCTGGAGGTCAACGGAGCAGACGACACCCAGAGGCAGCCGGCGGCGGCGGCAGCGGCGGCAGCGGCGGGGTTAGGCAGACATGACGATGGCGGCGGCGGCGACTTAATGGCATCGGCGACCCTCGTGAAGGACAAGGTGGGGACGGTTAGCGACAAACCGTCGTCTGAGGTGCCGTCGGCGGCGGCGGCGGCGATGGCGGCGGCGGCGATGGCGGCGATGGCGGGCGCAAAGCCAGAGGGCGGCGGCGGCAGCGGGAGCGGCGGCAGTTCCGGCAGTCCTCCGCAGAGTCAAGAGTCGCGGCGGGAGATCGTGGAGTGGGAGGTGGGGGGCAACTATTTTTGTTTTGACGAAACGATTGTCGTTGTGCGACCCTACAGCATATCGGTTCGTCTTGTTTTCAAGAGTCAGTCGTGCCACTTCGCCGCTGTTTCCCGCTGCTCACGCGTTTGCGGCCCACGCCGACGTACCGCCTAGTTACCGCTGCCCCCCCCCCCCCCCCCCCCCCCCCCCCCC